ATGTAATGAGTAAAAGTAAAAAGTGTGCTGAAAAAAAATTACTCAAGTAAAGTACAGATACCCAAAAAATCTACTTAAGTACAGTAACAAAGTATTTGTACTTAGTTACTTTACAACTCTGTTTGTTTCTAATCTTAGTCAAGAAAACGCAAAGAACCGAAGGACTCCACTCATCCCCTCACTCCTCATCAGGTAAATCAGCTTTAGGGTTACTTGTTATTTAAACATGTTCAAAACAAAACCCTATATATCAGTAATTAAAATATACAGAATGGTTTAATCTTTTATCTTAATACCACCCTGAACACACCAGATCTCATCAAATCTGAGAAGCTACGCAGCGTCAGACCTGTCCTTGGATGGGAGACCTGACGTAAAAACATGTAGGAGTTGGGTCCACATTGGTCGATAGCAACAGAAAACCTTTGACCAATAGGTTATAGATCGACTTTTAGAAGGATGTCCGATCATCAATCACTCTTGTTGAAAATGTTACATAATCAGTGTGAAATGGTTTGTTTTTCTTGCAGAAAGTGATGAGCAGCCTCATTAAAAGATACATTATTAAAGCACAGAGAGACACGGATAAGGACGAAGTGAACGAAGGTAAATCCTGCAATGCGTCTCATATTTGGATTACTGCATTAACAAAAAAAAGAAAAAAAATGGAGGGTGCAAAAACAACTTTTTTCACTTCCTGTCCCACAGGTGAGCTGAAAGACATCAAACAGGACATCTCCCGCCTTCGTTACGAGCTGCTGGACCGAGGGAACCGTGGCGTGGATCCACTGGCAGAGCTTGTTAGACAGCTGGACGAGAAGGATTTAATCAATGTAATCAAATGAGATGAGTTTCCTGGACTTTCTTAAACTTTCTCCATAATGATACAATAAATCAGAACCAAATCATTCTCTATCTCAAACTTGATACAGGTGTTTAAATTTAAAAAAATGTTTTCAAATGTTGCTGAAATTTTTCATCAATATTCACTTAAATTACGTTTGGAAACTTGTCTGCTCCAGTATCAAATAACCATATGTTTGCTCCTTCACTAATGGACTCTGTTTTCAATACCTSGAGTTTAAAGGGAATAACTTCTCTAAATGATCTTTATATAGACAATAAGTTCGCCTCATTTGAACAGTTAGCACAGAAATTTGACA